TTCTTACACGGCAGCTTTAGAGCTGTCACCACACGCATTTCCAGACCAGTTCACCAAATGTTAAAACCACGCAGATTTGTCAGAGAGGTCAAATGGAAGAACTTCCTTAAGGCATAATTCAGAGATTCACTCCTAATAAATCCATTTCAAAATTCTGCAGGATGCAAGCTAACCCTGGGGCCTTCTAAGGGTTCCAAAACATACTCGGGCACCTGAGGGGATTCAGGCTGAATTAGAACCTCTGGTCTAATTAATGAGTGGATTTCCACCTCCCCAGCCCAGTCAAATCCCCAGAAAGCTTTTACCAACATTAATACCTTGTTCCGTCCCACCTTCTAAGGTTCTGATTTAACTGAGCCGTGGATTTTCTGGTAATCTAATGTGATCCCCATGGTCCAGTGGTTCTCAGCTTTGGCGACATGTCAAGATTATGTGGCGAGCTTTTAAAATTCCTGGTGCCCAGGCTGCACACCAAATCAATTTAATAAGAATCATTGTGGGTGGGACCTGGCCTTAGCATTTTTTAAAAAATTCCCTAGTTGATTACATATTTAGCTGAGGCTGATAAATAGAAAAATCTAGAAAAGAAAATTCTTCCTTACATCTAAAACCTGGCTTCTTGCACTCTCTCCAGTTTACTTGCATCTCTGATTGCTCTAAAGCTACAGGCTGAAGTGTTGTGATACAGCTTAGTAACAAGGGAAAATACATGTTCTGAAGCTCAGGGTTGATATAGAAATGAAAGTGATAGTTCAAAACGGAACTAACAAGGAAAATGGCGACAGACATAGATGGAGAGCAAGATGACACCTGGGGGCAGGGGTTAGCGGGTGGAGGGATGGAGCAAAAAGGAAAAAGGACTGAGGACATGGACAACTGTGTGGTGATTGCCGAAGGGAGAGAGGTATAAGGGGACTACATGATGATGGAAAAAATACAATAAAGATTAAATCAAAAAAGAAAGTGATAGTTCAGATGAGAATTTACAAAATAAATAAGAAATGTACCTGTGGCAGTAAATTATTAGCACATTATAAGTGTGAGGCACTTGCATTAGCCCAAGAAAAGAGCAGGCCTATAGAATGAAAAATAATATTTAATATTAGATTTTTTCAAAAATAGCTAATATTTTCAAACTGTTCCACTGAACATTACCCATCTTCTGTAATTTAAAGTCTTGATAATTTAACTTAAGGGAATGCCGGTCATTGGTTCTACTGGATTCCATTTTCTCAATAATTCTAAGATTTTGGTCCAACCCCATAGATATGTTCCTCATTATCTGTCTTTTAAAGGTGGGGTTGTCCTGTTCTTATTTTCTTGTTTTGACAATGTGAATTATTGTTCTTTTAGTTAACTTTCTGAGAACTGTTAGAGCATAAGCAAGTTTACCACATTGAGAGGTGATGTGTATATTTGGTCGCTACTAGTAGAGATTATTGTTGATTAGGAGTTTATCCAAAGAATTGTTGACAATTGAGTTGCTGAAGATTTTGTAGCCAAAGTCAAATCCAACAACACTGTGTTTATTTGTCTTTTGCCAATTGTTAGGCCATATCCCGTCACAGTCTAACAATCCAAAAGAGAATATTGCCAAATTACTGGCCAGTTTTCAGAATGGCTAACCCTTTTCTTGCTATGGAATTTAACAATGCTTAACTATAACAAGTAAGGCATACTCTACTTTTTTTGAATTGGTGGTTTATGACAACTAAGAATTTTTCCTTAAAAGGGATGGCTGATATTGATTATTGTTGGGGACAGCAAAACTTTTTAGTAATTGGAAGCCAAAAGCAAGGAAAGCGCCCTGAGAGACTGAGCTCTGTGTTCCACATCTGTCCAGCAGGGCGGTTTGTCGGTTGCCCAGAGCACTGCTGCCACCTCTCACTCGGCACCCTAATCCCCAGCTTAAGCAGCAGTGTTATTTCTGTCAGGTGTGGAGTGATTGTTTCTGTCTGCTGAGGGCTTGCCTGGTCCAACAATTATCTGAATTCACCCTCCGGCCTTGTCTCCAAGGGGAAAACTCTTTCTGACAACAGCAGTGCAAGTATTGACCATCCATTGGCAGTCCCTTTATGATGCTGTTAACACTCTTTCTGCAGAGAACATGATATGTATTTCATTTTTGAGGGACATCGTATGCTTTTATTACCCTTTTATTAGTTCAGGTTAGGTTCTAGTTTTATCACTTAGAACCCTACTGGTAGGCTAACTGTGAAGCCACCGAAGAGAACAATTTGAGAGGAGAGGCTTTCTTGCCTCCTGGGTAATAAAAGCATGAGATCTCAGGACCAGTTTTCCAGTCACAGCTTTTCTCTCCTGGGGAGTCAGAAATGTGGTTCCTTGGCCTCTCACAGGTTCCTACATTTACATAGTTGGGCCTTACTTATATGTCTACTAATACAAGTATTATTTCTGTTGGGTTCCTTGGTATGCTTTTTCTGCTATTTCATTCTAATATAAATTTAAAATATTTCACAAGATAGCACTATAATTAAGATAAGACTAAAATAAGATTGTCATAAGCCAGGGTAACTGAGATAATTTTTTGAATTTTTTTTGATTGACTTTTTTTTTTAGGGAGAGAGAGAAAGGAACAGAGAGAGAGAGAAATATCAATTTTGTTGTTCCATTTACTTACACATTGATTGGTTGATTCTTGTATGCGCCCCAACCAGGGATCACACCAGCAACCTTGGTGTATAAGGATAGTGCTCTAACCAACTGAGCTACCTGGCCAGGGCAGTAACTTTTCAAATTACCTAAAGATGTGAGACATGAGCTATCATATCCACCTCCCTTCCATTCCACCTCCCTTCCTTCAGGCCTTCCACCCAGCCCAACACCTTCTGAAAGCAGAAATATACACCCAGATTTTCCACTGTGCCTACTCACTCCAACCCACTATCTTAACAATACCTATAAACTACATTCTTGTTCAGAGCCTTGCTTATTACTGGTGAAGTAAGCAGTCCTTTGAGACCCATTAATATCCTGAAGTTAGTTCCTTCCTTTATTTTTTCTCTTTTTCTTACACTGTAGCATAGTATTAGAGAAGAAATGGCTTACCAAATTGGCTTTTTAGTTACTCAAGATTCATGATAAATTTTATTTCAAACTACAGAATAACTTCAGCATTTCGTATATATTTACAAATGCCTCTGTTTCAAGAAATTTGAACACAAATAAAACTGACACATGTAAATGCATTCCAATTATAGATATTTTGATCCCATATAATCATACATGTTTTTCACTTTTACTGAATTTAACATCTAATTTTTTACTTTTTTATTATTTGGAAAAAGCATTCAAAAGAAATTAGTCAGCATGTAGAAGAATTCTATAGTGTTTAGGTTTGATAACCGTATTACTACAATTTTAAATTAGTTCTGAGAGTTCATCCTTATCATTGAGATATCATCTGAATCTCATTCAACATGTGTGACAATGATGAATACTTAGATTTTCCACATTTGTGTTACATAGTTTCTGTGGTTTAGAATAACATAAGCTTCATGGAGTAGAAAATATATTAGAAATCATCTGTATATATCTCACACCTTACAGATGAAAAATTGAAGATTGGAAAAAATAAGAAATTGTTCCAACATCATTCATAGGAAGGGATTAGATCTATGTGTTATAATTTCCACCTGGACTCTATGATAAATCTGAATAATTTAAACGAAGTGATTGTAAGCCAATTCTGTTGCTCACATAAAAGTGACCAACCACAAAACTTTCTTCCAAATAGTTATTTCCTTAGCTAAATTTCAGCGTAATCAGAACAATATCCTAAGAATAACATGTCTTTATTAATAACAGTAACTATAAAACCATAACTGTTAACAATCTATTAAAATGTCCTTAACATCCTATATTAATTACACTTAAATTATTAGCTAAGAAGCCTGAAAGCCATTCATTAAATCAAGTAACAAAAGTTTTAACCATGTACTAAGCAAGCCTGGCACTTTCAATCGACTTCAACACAATATTGTAGGATCATATGCTAATAATATTATTCGAGTACTAGTAATACAAACAAAATTTATTCTCACTCAGGAATTTTAAAATTCAAATGTATATGTTGAGGTATATATTTTACCCCATTAAATTTAATACTATTAAAATTGGCTATTAATCATAAGTGCTAAATGATAAATTCAACCCTGATATTACCACCTGACAAGAATAACTGATTCCTGAGAAAAGTGTGAGGCTTACTAGTCAATAGTTATGGAATTAACATCTTCTTCAACTCACTTTTATTTTTTTCTTCACCTTTACTTTTCTCTCAAGCTGACATAGAACCGTGACATAGATGATGTACACAAATAAAATCTTAGGAGGAACCTATTCTTCTGCCTTGGTAAATAATTAAACAGCCCAGCGCAAGCTCAATGTGACATGAACAAATGAAGATGCCACTGGTTCCCTTCCGTTTTATCACTACCCACAATTGCACAAGTCACTGGGTGCATGTTCAAGCACTGATTACTTTTACATCACAGAAACAGTCTTTCAAAGAAAATCAAATTTAAAAAAATAATAAATTCTCCATTTCTCAAACTAATAAGTAGTTTTTGGTGACCATTTACTGAGTACTCATTAGCATTCCTGAAGAGTTTTTCTAGCAGACAATAAATCATAGTTCAGTGTGACTAATGCCATTTATGTTATGTTTAATTTATGAGCATTTGAACTTAGGACATGGAGAGTATATTTTCAAATTAGCTTGGTTATATCAGCTCCAATTATAATACTAGTAAATTTGCCCTGTTCTAGGAGAACATACAAAGTAATGTATACTGTGGAGGTACATTTAAAACAGTTTTTAGGAACATAGTTCAACTATCCAAATTTAGAGAAATTAGAAGATGACATTTAATTTTTTCAAAAGTAAAAAGTAACAGAAAGTATGTCACTTGGAAATTGATCTTTTCACATCTCATGATGGTTCATTAATAGTGATGTAAATAAAAGACATTACTTACTGTAATTGTTCTTCATCTCTTGGGTCCCTTTGACTTTGCCTCGTTTATCAATTCTCAGATACCACTGTGTTCGACAGAAGAGCCTTCTCACTCTTATATCCCCTCCTTCCATGTAATCATAACTTCTTGTGTGTCGCTCAGGGCTGGAACAGTTCACATTTGTAGCCATTTGCTCTGAAGTCATGTCATTGCAAGCTAAAGATATAGTGCCCACTAGACAGATAATGTGAAAGCATGAGCTGTAGAGCAAAGTTGGCAGGATCCATGTCAGTATCCATTTGCGCATTATAGTGTAGTGCTCCGAGTGTGCATGAATAACATACTGAAAATTAAAGCTTCAGTGATTGTTGCTCCTAGGTCATTGACCTCTTCCTATCTGTGAAGTGTAGGTTGATTGAAGGAAGAGTAGTTGCTCTTTCCGAATTGTTAGCCTTATCCTTTCAGTTCCTGATAACAACACAGGGTCCCTCCTTTACTCTGCTGAGATATCCTTGTAAAAGCAGGCTGTGGTGAGCTCAGTTGCTGTGACGCTGTTTGCTACTTGACTTCTGTTTGCAAGGAGAGATTAAGAGTAGGGACAGGAGGAGAAAGGAGGATGAAAAATTGTGGGTTTAACTTTCAGTGGGTAAAGAGTATTGTAGTACGCAGTGTAGTATCTACTGTGGAGGTACATTTCAAACAGCTCACAGGATTTCAACATTTTTACTACTCTGTATTTAGCTTTATAAAGGTTATGCACTGGTAGAGATAAATCAGAATATGATTGTACCATTCATTCCAGTTGTTATTTGATAAGAAACATCCTGCAATTAGAGCTATTGGTTTAAATTAAGTTCTAAAATTGCTGCTAACAAAGTAAAAATGCTTTCCCTAGATTTCTTCATTATATGCTTTCAACATTTGTGTTTAATCAATTATTTTTCTCCTGAACTGCCCACATTTCACAAGTTAAATGTCAGGATTACTCTGGAAAACTTCAGCCTTATCTTTATGTAAGCTGTACACCGAAATTACTATAGATAATTACGTGGCTCAAATATCTGGTAACTTTACTTTTCCCTTCAGTATGAAAACCAGAGAAAAAGATAAACTACTAGAAAACATTCAGCATTATTTTTTAAGACAAATAACAGTAACTTACTTGTTCTGTTGATAACAGCTGGATACACAAGAATTCCATGTCTGTTGTCTGCCTTGTGCAACTTGAGCCTTTCTACTGTAGCTACAAACTACTTCTCAGCTGAGAAATTCTCCAGCAGAATCATAATTGTTTCCATAAATCAACAGGCAGGAGGATTTTCTCCGTGTGTGTGAGTGCGTGTGTGCTCATGTGTATGTGTGTGGAGCCTTTTATTCAGGGCTTTTCGATAAATACCTTTGCTGACCTCATTGGAAGCAATTAAAACTTAACCAGTAAGCTGTTAGTTGAATACAACAGGGAGAATAAAGGAGGCTTGTATAGTATTCATTCAATGGTCATGAGAGGGAGCTATGAACATGGTTTATGCTGAAATCTACAAGTGGGTAATCTCCCTGGTAGAAACAGCTCTCTGATTCTGAATCAGTTAGAAGGAAAAAGGGAATTTTTTAGACCATCTTTACAACTTAGCAGCTGCATATAAGTTGATAAATACTACTTTGAACATATATAAAAGGGACTTTTTAACAGTTAGATCTTTTTTATAGCTCTATGATGCATGCATCTCTATTATTCCCCTGTGCTCTGAATGTTAGAATAAAACTACAAGTCTGAACTAACACATCTTACTGTCCTAAAGCACAGTATAGCTGAGTCAAAAGTATATTTCTTTATACAGAAATACTTCATCATTGTATATGCACATCATTTCTATGTCTTATATTTCTAGACTGAAAATAAGAAGACCTGGGTTCTTATTTGAGTTGGGCCACTAATTACCAATATGAGCTTGGGCAAGTCACTTAATATTCCTGAGTCTCAGCAGCTACATTTGTAAAGTTAGTGTATTAGTCTAAATTATTAAATGGTGTCTTATAGTTTTACAATTCTGTAGCTTGTAATTTTAACTATTGACATGCATGTTTTAAAAATTATTCTTAAAAATTAAAAAATAAAGAAAATGATTTCACATTGATTACCAGTATTTGACTCTTGCCTCAAAAAGCACATTAGCACAAGAAATATATGTTAATTTATGGATAGAATTATAAGAGTTATAGCTAATGTAAATAAGAAAGCTGTTTTACTTTCCAACATGAGTTGTTCTCTCTTTTACTTCTGGTTCTAGCACTTATATAGTAGTTTTGTTGCAGAATAATTGCATTGTTAATCTAAAGCAATATTTACAAATGTATATCACAATTATTTTTCCCATGTTAATACCCCTAAAACATACACTCACCCCCCCCCCACACACACACACACTGCATTTGAAATGCACCACATCACCACCAGGTGGTGCATGTAGACCAAACAGGACAAGGAAATTGGATTACAGTTTCTGTGATTTCCCTTTGTGTCTGTACTTTTGGGGAACAGAATCAAGAGCACAGAATAGTTTAAATGTACCCAGTTACTGTAAAAACACCAGATATTGAAATTAAGTTTATCAAGGCAGAGGAGTTTGGGCCCTGCTATAATTGCATCTGTTGAAAGCCAGATGGCTGCAAAAAATATTATATCATGTATTTCTCTAAAGGAGAAGAGAAGAAGGAAAGAAAGTGTGATGCCACTGTGTTAGGAATCATACCCTCGTTAGTTTTGTAGGCAACAGTAATGAGCAGGAGCAGAATTCCCAGGACTTGGATATTCCCTCTGAAGAAATGAAAATTATTGTCAATACACATGTAAAGGTATCCAAGAGCTACTAAAACTGTCCATTCCACACACTGACCCTAAAGATTTTAAATTAAAAACCAACAGATTAGAAGTCAGAATTTTCTAATTAAACACTTAAGACTTCAATAAAAGAAATGGATAGTTTAAAGAGTAAAGAGTGCTTGGTGCCTCCTGAAAATCTGCTATTTAGGGTGAATTATAATATGCTATATAAGGTGAATTGGGAAATGACCTGAGTGTGAAATTGTGATCTATGCACTCCGAGTTCATTAGATGCCCTTGTACCCTGTAAGATGAAAATACAATCCCAGGAATATTAATGAATGCATTGACTTCAACAAGGGAAGTATGTTTAAGTCATTTGATCATCAGTTTCCTTAGTGGAGAATAATAAATTGAGGATGGACCCAGTTCACCAGCCTCACCAGCACCACACTGTAATGAGAGCGCCTTTATGCCCTTCTTAGACTTACACTTTTTTGAGAGGGATTCTCCAGAAACCGGGAGTGACTTCCACATCTCTACATGGGGTAACCCTCTGTGTTTTTTAAAATTCTTAGTAGCAATAATGCTGACAAGAATTTATTGTCCTTGTTTTAATGTACATATAGTAATAGGCTAACTACAAAAAAACTTTGAAAGAAATGCCTTTTTTGTTGTTTCCAGATTGAGTTAACTTCATTTTTCTTTATTGGAAACACTTCTATCTCTTGAGCTTTAAATTTTTAAAACAAGGGATTTTTGCATCTATTCTTAAAAATTGACCTTTTAAAAACATAACCTTAGAAAATAAAAATTAGCATCTGAGATTCTTCCAAAAGAAACAGTGCCTAATAATTGTCTACTTTGATTTAGAGGTAGGATATGTAAAAAGAATACAAGAATCTATTTCAGTGAATATAATGAAAATATGGGCAGTTGTTAAAGTAATAATCAACCAGCTAGTTTTGCTTAAGCAACTTTTGTTATATCCCTACTTCATGAAGAGGTCAATTACAGAAAATTGGTTTCTTCAATTAATTTTGCATTTCAATAATGAATTTTAAATTTATGCCACATTCATAAGATCATGTATAACATAATCAATAGAAAAGAACATCATTAAGCATTTCATTACTTTTATTCTTACATCCTATCCTATTCCTTATTCTTCTATTTCCCCACCCTTTCCCCAGAATATAGGTAATCATTGTTAGTTTCATGAGCATCTTACTAGAGTTTCCTATGCATATACAGGCAAATTAAATACATATATGTGTATATATTTCCTTTTACTTTTCATCTCTTTATACAAAAAGTAGCATACTATACACCATGTTCTACATTTTGCACTTTTTACTTAGTAAAAATTTTTACTTAGTAAAAATGGAAACTCTTTCCATCTTAGTAGTTAAGAAATTTCCCCACTTTTGACAGCTGCATAGTACTCCATTGAATGAGTATATATCATGGTGTATTTTACTAGCCTACAATTGATGAACACTTCATTTTTTCCAGTCTTTTTTCTTTTTGTAAATTTTTAAATTTATTTATCTTTAGAAGGGAAGAGAAGGAGAGAAATATCAATGTATGGTTGCTTCTGGTGCATCCCCTGCTGGGAACTGGCCACTGCTGGGAACTGGCCTGCAACCCAGGCATGTGCCCTGATGGGGAATCGAACTGCAATCTTTTGGTTTGCAGGCCTGTGCTCAATCCACTGAGCTACACCAGCCAGGGCTTCTAGTCCAGTCTTTTTTCTGTTATAAAAAATAGATGCTGCAAAGCCAAAGCTATAAATGTGTCATTTTTGTTACAGTGAAAATATATCTGTAGAATTCATTTCCTGAATTTCTCTGGGTCAAATGGTATATATATTTATTATTTAAATAGATATTGCCAACCTACCCTCCATGGAAGATATACTAGTTTTACAATCCCGCTAGCATTACATAATAGTGCCTGTTTATTCAAAATAGTGTATTTGTCAAACTTTGGCGATCTTGCTAATCTGACAGATGAAAGTGTCATTTCATTGTACTCATCCTCTGTATCTCTCATCTTATGAGAGAGAGTGATCATCACAAACAGTGTAAAGAAAAGGTGTGCCCATCCACAACAGGTGGCCATGGGGAAGGTCCCCCTACAATCAGACCAGCAGAGCTGAAATCTGAGGGCTGACTGGGAGTTAACCAGATGAGGAGGTGCCTGTATTATACAGACCATGTGTTGAAAGAGAGCATGTCCTTTCCAACAACAAAACACTAGTGTGGCTCCAGTAGGAAGAATGAGAGGGAGTGCGGTATGCGAGGAGGCTGGAGAGGCAGGCAGTGTGCGGTGGGCAAGGTCTAGGATTTTGATTTGATCCTGACAGCAACAGGAAGCGGTTGCAGTATGTTAAGTGAAAGAGTGACATGATCACGATTGCACTTTCTGTCTCTATTATGACACAGCTTATTTAATTCTTATCAGTAGAATAAGTTTATGAAATATTAAATTGTGCTCATTTATACTATTCTTTCTGTTCTTCAAATTTTCAAAAAGATAGCCAGGCTTCGTAATTGGAAAGGGAAGATGGGGGAGGAAAAAGGCCGTATCTACTTCCCAATTTAAGTAAAGCCTAAATCCATTTCAAAGGGTTATGCTAAGTTCTCTGAAAAAAAGGGAAGCGTAAAAGTGCCTTTGATAAGCAGTTCATAAAAGGTAGAGTCCATAGACCAGGGAGCTTAGGAAAAAAAAAAAAAGTTCATTCAGGGAGTAAATCTCCTATATTTCTAGTTACACCACAGCACATAGCAGGAGCAGAAAAGCTCCAGAGAGCAAGAACTGCCTCATACCTCTAAATGGATGGACCCATAAGAACCCCTCAAAAAGATTTCCCATATTTTAAAAGAAATCTGAAAACAGCAGGGAGCCTGGACCTGGGGGAACTGTGTGAGCGGAGTCAGTGAATACCCTCAGAAGTAACCAAAGTAGACAAATGACTCAACAACCAGAGGCCCTTGCTTTGGCCCCTAAACAAACCCTTGAACCAAACCAAAGCCCATCTTGAAGCAGAACAAGGAAACCCAAGAATAATTGAGGTTAAGTTTTCCACAACTGGGGGCAGGGGATGAAATTCTCCAAGTTGAAACAAGGTCAAGTTATAAACATAAATTTATATGTGATTTCTTGCGTATTTGAGTGTGTGGGCCCAGATTTATTTCCACTACATGCCCACAGCTGTCGTCACACTACAGATCTATCTTGGTCTCTTCTTCTGTCAGTCCCACTCCATAAATTTAGCCTCAGCACTGGATCATGCCATGCAACCAATAGTACTTATGGCCTGAATTCATCCACTAAACAAATATTTATCAAATAGCTACTTGGTGCCAGATGTTGTCCTAGACTTTTGGAAGTGCAATGGTGAATGTTCTGGAAGTGATCTCTACCCTTACAGAGCATGCATTCCTGTGAGAGAACAAACATAAACAGATTAATCTGTGATGTGAGTAGGGTGTTGGGGTAGGTTGGAGATATTAGGATACAAAGAAGGTGTTCAAGGAAATAGAAGATGGAGAGGTAAATGGGTACAGGCACCTGCTTTAAATAGGAAAGAGCTATTGGAGGAGGTAAATTTT